GCGCATCGAACTGACCCGACCACACGCCCACTGGGCCTTCCTGACCCGCATGCGTGCCGAACCGGCCAAGCCCCCTTGCGTCGCAACGAAATCACGAGCACAGGTTTTTAGTGTTGATTTCGGGGTGACCCAAAAGGGGGTCCAGCTGAAAGGGGGTGGTGCAATAGATTTGGGGCAACTGTATTGCAAATGCATTGCGCTGGAGAATTGTATTGCGTTGTATTGCAAGTAATGTATTGCACGCGAAAATCCAGCAAAGCATCCGCGCCCCAGAATGTATTGCACGTCCCAAATGTATTGCAACCCCACAAATCTATTGCACCACCCCCTTGTCGCTGGACCCCATTTTGGGTCAACCCGATTATTGGGCTGCCGCCAACTGAGGATGAAAAGTGTGTCCGGGGGAACGGGTCGAGACCTCTGGGGGTGCGCGCTGCGAAAGCATAGCGACGTCGGGGCTCCCAAGGGGTGCGTCGTGAACGCAGAACTTCCGAGGGAGTCTGGCCGTGGCGACGAGGAGCCTCCCAGAGGTCCACGAAGGGCCAGCGACCAGCGACCTCGCGCGGCCAGGAGGAGGAGGAAGAAGAGGAGGAGGACGAGGAGGAGGAGGAGGGATGAGTAGGAGGAGAAGGAGCAGGAGGAGAGGAGCAGGAGGAGGAGGAGGAGGAGGAGGAGGAGGAGGGAGGAGGGATGATGATGATGATGTGATGATGATGATGAGATGAGGATGAGGAGGAGGAGGAGGAGGAGCAGGAGGAGGAGGAGGAGCAGGAGGAGGAGGAGGAGGACGAGGAGGAGGAGGAGTTGGGGGAGGAGGAGGAGCCTCCCAGACGCTCAAGGAGGAGCCTCCCAGAAGGCCCGGGACTACCGACCACCGGCGAGGAGCCTGGAGCCTCCTGGAGGCCCAAGAAGGACCACAACCACCCAAACACCTCGCCTGCAGGCCTCCTAGATGGAGTCCGAGTGAATGGGGCCGGAGGATCGCACCGCATCGCCGATGCACCGGCGATGTGTCGGTGACGCCAGCGATGCATCGGCGACGTCGGCGTGAAAAAAAAACAGCTCCCCATCGAGCCGCATCGGGGATGCCTCGGCGATGCATCGGCGATGCGACGCGATCCCCCGACCCCATCCTGCTCCGACCCTACCTAGGAGGCCAATATCCCCCTCAGACAGCCAAACGCCTGCCGCAGAAGAATAACAAACGGCATGAACATAAACTTGTGGTGCTCCGCCCGAATTTCTTGGACCTGCGCTGGGGCCCTCCTCCCTGGCGCGCGGAGCGCGCCAGGGGCGGCGCCGGAGGCGCCGCCAGGGGGGCCCCAGCGCGGATCCAAGAAAGTCAACATTTTCTTATTCGGCGTTTCGACATAGGGCGGAAGGGGGGGGAGGGGGGGTGTCTGGCTCCAGACCTCTGCTTAGTGCGGCTGTTTGCAGCAGTGCGTCCTGCGGGGAAGACAGGGAACCGAACTTTATACACCGATGCTTTTTGTGGCCCTGCACTGAAATTTGCACAGGAAAGCGGATCTTCGGGATCCTGGTGTATACGTTTTCCGTCGTTTCCCCGGGAAAACGGGGAAACGAGTATACACCACACCACTCCGACGTCGTCCCCGACCCTCCAAAAATCCTGGGGTTGAAAAACAGCCCACCACTTGTAATGTATATGCGCCAGTTTCCGAGGAGAGGTTCCCCCCCGCTCGAAACAGGCGCCAAAAACAGCCAAGATCCACTCCATGGGGGGGTGAAGGGGGGTTTTGGGGCCCGCGCCGATCGGCAAAACAAGGAATAAAAAACGATCACAAATCCGCGTGGAGCGCAGCAAGTTTATGTTTACGCCGTTTGTTACTCTTCTACGGCAGGCGTTAGGGTGTCGTGGGAGATCTAGGCCTCCCACAGGTAGGCTCTCTTGAGAAGGTTTATGTTTATGCTTGTATTTACAATGGAGGCCAGTCCACAAGAAACCTTCCACAAGAAACCCAACCCTGAGACCCCAGGACGCCCATGGATTTTTTTGGCGTGGGAACGTCGCGCTCTCCATCGCAAAAAAGCCATCGAGACCCGAGAAACCCAGGGCACCCTGGAGGCGAGCAGGGCGTTTCCTGGCATGGGCCCCCACTGCATGGCGCTTCTCTTTTTCGACGCCGAGCGGCCGCGAGCGGTCGTGGCACAATACAACAATTGACGATCTCAAACCTGTGATGTATGTGATAGCGTGTTTTGCAGGCGCTCCGTGGTGACGAGCCGGCGAGGCCGGCGAAAGCTCACCACAGAGCGCCTGCAAAAACAAGCTATCACATACATCACAAGTTTGAGATCGTCAATTGTTGTATTGTGCGGCGACCGCGGCGGCCCCGGCCCGGAGGGCGTGGCGCCTCCTCAGGCGGCAGCCTCGCCGGCAGACCGGCAGCAGCCGCGAGCAGCGGCGCCGTCGCGGCGGCGGCTTCGCTCGCGCCCGCGGGCGCGGCGGCGGCAGTCTCCGCGGAGGTCGCCAGGCGGCCTGGGCGCTCGTCGTCGTCGTCGTCGTCGTCGTCGTCGTCGTGGTCGTTTTCCTCGTCGTGGTCGTCGCAGGAGGAGGAGGAGGATATGTTCGAGGGGATCCCAGACGCTTTCGGAGGCCGTCGAATGTTTTTGGCAAGCTGTCGGCGGTCTTCGGCTCCCCACATGCAAGTGCCAGAAAACGCTCTGGAGGTTTGCGGAATGCCTTGGGATATTTCGGGAAGAGGAATATGGGGAGGCCACGCGACGGAGGAAAGAGGAGGGAGAAGGATGCGAAAGAGGAGGATGCTGAGAATGAGGATCAGGTTGATGATGATGACGCTGCTGATGCTGATGCTGCTGATGATGATGCTGATGATGGTGACGATGACGACGACGATGATGATGATTATGATGATGATGGTGATGATGATGATCATGATGATGATGATGATGATGATGATGATGATGATGATGATGATGATGATGGTGCTGATGATGATGATGATTAGGATGATTATGCTGATGATCATGGTGATGATGATAACGATGATGCAGCAGCTGCTGCTGCTGATGACTATGATTATGTGTATGGTGCTGATGATGCTGATGCTGAGGATGATGATTAGGAGGAGGAGGAGGAGGAGGAGGAGGAGGAGGAGGAGGGGATCCACATCATGATGGAGAGCCACAGCCTACCGAAGAGCACCTGCCACAACGAGATCTACAACATAAAGGAGGGCTGCTGCCGAAATATTGGAGCTACAGCAAGGGGAGCTACAGCCCAGAGAAGGGTGACGACCAGCAGAGAAGCTACAGCCTGGCGGGCAAGTACAAGGACGATCCAGACTACCAGAGAACGGCACAGCGCCTACTATAGCCACGATTGCCTCGTTGAGGAGCGGTGTCGGGCTACCAAAAGGCGCTCGACTACGCACGCGTCCCTGACGGCAGCTACCACGATGTCTACACAACCCGAAGCTTGGACTACAATAAACGCCTACTACGGCAACTACGGTGAGGTCTACAACGCTACCGCCACAATATACCATGATGCAACGCTTCCAACACGGCGCTTCGTCATCTGCACTGCCTGCGTGAACAGGAAGCACTAAGCGGCCCAGCCGCTCTTACATTCCCTCCGCTTTCAACATCCTAATGCCCCTTCCCCTTCTCGTCGACAGCAGCAGACGCGATGCTGAAATGGGCGATGATGGTGCGGATGAGGGCAGCGGCGGCGGGAAGGCCAATGACGGCGCCGATGCAGATCGCGCAAGTGGCGATGATGTTGTCCACGTGTCGGCGATGCAGGTCGTGGGTGGATTTCGACGCGCGCGCGGCCGACGCGCGCGAGTGGCACGCGTGGAACTATGCGACAAGGATCGTGCCCCCCCCCCCCGCCGCCCGCAAGCGCGCGAGGGCGTTCGAGTGATTCCGACTTGCGCGCGCGAGAGGCCCGCTCGGTTGCATCTGATGACGATGTTGAAGAGCTCAGGGTTTTCGTGCGAATGCGCAAGGGCGCGCGCATATGGTTTTTGGAGAATCATGATTCAACGTGTTTTGTGTCTTCGGAAAACTCGATCTTGAAATCCGTGCAAGACCTCGAGACTACTGATCAATTGTGGCATGCGCGCGCGACGACGCGCGTGCCGATTTCGTCATTTTTAAATCACAGGGGTTCTTCAACATGTGTGATCTCTGATGAACAAGTGCGCGTCATTGATTTGATTTGACAGGGATGAGGGGGGCGATGGCGGCCTGGCCGCATTGGTGTGAGTTCATTTTCGAAACAAACGATGGGGCAAAACCGCGTGTACATTAATATCCCAAGGTGGGGAGCAGGCGACAAAGCTGGGGCCAGTGGGTGGGTGGTCGTTTTTTTTTTTTTTTTTTTTTTTTTTTTGTTTTTTTTTTCTTCCTTTTTTGGGGGAAACTATACTATGTATGTGTGGATGTGAATGGGTGTGCGTGCGTGTGTGTGTGTGTGTGTGTGTGCGTGTGTGTGTGTGTGTGTGTGTGTGTGTGTTTGTGTTTGTGTGTGTGTGCGCGTGTGTGTGTGTGCGTGCTTTCTAATGTGGAAAAACCGAGGCAACGGACCTTGGAATTGTCGGCCCCACTGTTCGCGCAGTCATCCCGCCCGCCCACCCGCGACTTGGTGTGCGAAACCAATGGCGGCGATTGCGGTGGCTGCATGTTGCTAGCTGGCGCGTCCCCGCGGTCGTGCTGGCGCGCGCGTGCACGCGCGCGCAGCTGGCGGCTAATTTAGCGCAGCCGACGCGGCCGCGGTGGCGCTCGCCGACGGGGACTTTCCAGCGCGTCTTACGGGCCGCGCTGATGCGCGGGCACCTCGTTGCGAGACGGTGCCTCGGGCGGGCGCGGTATCATGGCGACGTCGACAGCAGCAGACGCGATGCTGACATGGGCAATGATGGTGCGGATGAGGGCAGCGGCGGCGGGAAGGCCAATGACGGCGCCGATGCAGATCGCGCAAGTGGCGATGATGGCGCCCGCGTGTCGGCGATGAAAGTTTCGGGGGGGATTCGACGTGCGCGCGCTGCCGGCGCGCGCGAGTGGCCCGTGTTGTATAATGTGATAAAGATCGTGGCCTCCCCAGCAGGCGCACAAAAGGCGTTCGTCGGATTTCGGCGCGAGCGCGCGAGAGGCCATGCGCTCGTGGGTTCCGCGAGATTTCGAGATAACGCGCGCGCGTTTCGTTTGGGTAAGTCAGGATGCAAAGCCGTTTTTTGATGTCTTGGGAAATCGATCTTGAAGTCCACGCGGAACCTTCAGTTATTCGGGCAATTTTGGCACGCGCGAGCGACGGCGCGCGCGGGTCGACCTTGTCAAATTTTCGTTCAAGGGGGTCTTGAAAATGCATGGTTTCGGACGAGCAATCGTGCGGGCATGATGCGATTTGCGCGAGGATGAAGGTGGGCGATGCTGGCCTGGCGGAGATGGTACGAGTTCACATTCAAAACGGACGATGGGGCATAATCACTCACGCATTGTAGCATCCCATGGGGGGGGGGGGCGAAACAGCAGAGGCGGTGGGTCGGTGGTAGAGCCTTGTTGTTCAGATAGCGAAACTTGGAATTGCCGACTCCACTGCCGGCGCACTTGCCCTGCCCGCCCACTGGCAACTTGGTGTGCAAAACCAACGCGGCGGCGATTAGTGTGATGCGTGCGTGGCGCTGGCTGCGGCCGCGCTGGCGCGCGCGTTCTCGCGTGCGCAGCGGTGCTCGCGTGCGCAGCGGCCGGCTAGTGAGGCGCGAATGAAGCGGCCGCGGTGGCGCTCGCCGATGGGGACTTTCCTGTGCGTCTCACAGGCCGCGCTGGCGCGATGGCATTTCGTTGCGAGGCGGTGTCGCGGGCGGGCGCGGCATCGTGGCGACGTCGACAACGGCAGACGCGATGCTGATATTTGCGATGATGGTGGCGATGGTGACGATGGCGGCGGGGAGGCCAATGACGGCGCCGAAGCTGGCCACGCCGATGGCGATGATGGTGCCTGCGTGTCGGGGATGAAGGTTTTGGGAAGATTTTGACACGCGCGAGTGGCCCGCGTGGAACTGCGGGCAGGAATCGTGCCCCCCCGAGCAAGCGCGCAAGGGCGATCGAACGATTCCGTCACGCGTGCGCGAGCGGCCCGCTTGGTTTCATTTGATGAAATGAGTGAAGGCCCGATGGTTTTTCTGGAATAAATCGCGAGAGCGCACGTAGTTTTTTCGACAAATCAAGATGCAGAACCGTTGGTTTGGGTTTACATGCTTTCGGGGGCCTCGAATTTTAAATCCTCGTGGCGCCGAGCGTTTTGCACCAAGGTCGGCATGCGTGCGCGACGACGCGCGCGAGTCGACTGTGCCCCGTTTTTCGGCAACATATTCTTGCACATGTATAATTTTGGATAAGCGAGTGTGTGCGCACAGAGTTATTTGACAGGGATGAGTGAGGGGGTGCGATAAAATGTCTAGCCTGGATGATACGAATTCATGCAGAGGTAACGATGGGGAATAATCTTGTGTGAATTGTACCATCCCAAAAGAAACCGATACTTCCGAGGGTGGTGGTGGTGGTGGTCGGTCCTAATCTGTTTAAGACGAGGAGAAGAATCGATGTGGTGCAATCTATTCTATGCTGTGCAATCAATCACTTGCTCAACTTGAAGCTGTCCTCTCCACTGCTCGCGCAAACATCCCACCCTCTCACCCGCAACTTGGTTTGCAAAACCTCTTAATACCGACTACGACGACACCGACGACAACGACGACGACGACACCGACGACGTCTCCGACGACTTCGACGACGACAACGACGCCGACGCCGACGAAAACGACGACGAAAACGACGACGACGACGCCAACGAAGGCGACGACGAGGGAGGAGGAAGGACGACGACGGCGACAACGACGACAACGACGACAACGACGAGGGAGAGGGAGGACGGCGACGACGCGAACGACGACGAAGGAGGAAGGACGGCGACGCCGACGACGACAACGACGAGGGAGGAGGGAAGACGACGACGACAACGACGACGACGACGGTGACGAAATAGAACCGACGACGAGACGCCGACGACGGACGACGACGACGACGTGGGAGGAGGAGGACGGACGACCACGGCGACAACGACGACGGAAACGACCACGACGCCAAAGAGGACGACGACGACGAACACGAGAAAAGACAGAGGACGACGTAGGCGACGACGACGACGACACGGGAGGAGGGAGGACGGCGACGACGACGACGACAACGCAAAAGCGCGCGCGCACGCTTTTGTTGAAAATCCGTGTTGCGAAACCTTAGGTTTTTGTAGGTTTTTTCGACGCACGATTTTGAAATCCTTCCGAAACCGATGGGTTTTGAAGGTTTTCGGCACACGCCCGCGACGACGCGCGCGTCTGCACTTCGTCCCATTTTTTGCAGAGGATTCTCGCGACGGCACACGCGCAAGGGCGTTCGACAGATTTCGACATGCGCGCGCGAAGCCCGTTTGGCAGCATTTTGTGAAAAGCTTGG